GTCCGTACGGGGACATGGGTAAGCTAAGCGAGCCCCCAGCCGACGGTTGCTACGGCGCAGATCCGGCCCGATGTGATCCAGTTAGTTGCATGCGCTTTGACAATCGAGAAAACGGTGAGTTGTACAGGTGTGCATTTATAGGGTAGGAATTAGACATAAGGTTGGGTTGGTCAAATTCAATAAACAGTCTACTACTATTGCTCAAAACGAAGATATTTTTTCTCAGGATAGATATTTAGTGAGGGATATTCATATTGCTTACTAAAGAAAGCTAATTTTCTAATTGAGAGGTTCTATGAATCAGCTGGATTTATTCCCATACTACAACTATTTATCCAGTGTAATAAAGTTTGTTCGAATCCCCATGGGATTGGATACAAAATCGTTTTCAAGGCTGGTACTCTAAATTTCAATAATATTCTGATCAGCATTAAGTGCTTATGGATTAATTATAGATGGTACGAAGGGTTATGCATCATTAGCATCCAGCGCATGAGCTGCAAGTGAGCTGAGATTTACCGTACTTTAGTTGATGGTTACACTCTCACCTTTGATTCAAGTCCCGTGCGTTGAACATGTACACAGCTTGATCACCGAGGCGTATACAGACTCAGTTTGAACTGTATTTCCTTACTAACGAAGTTGAATAACCTTACAAGCCCTAATTAACGTGAATCACATAAGTTGCTTCCCATGAATGTTAACCTAAGCGGTTTTACATTTGAGAAAATTTTCTAGACCATTTGGTACACATAAAACAAAGGTTTACGGGGAAAATTGTTTATGGTAAAGGGATGTTGCAAACTCCAATTATTAAATTTATACTAGAACCGTGAACTTTTGTCTTCGATGCAGCCGTAAATACAGATCTGATAACTAAATACTTCGGTGACCAAAGGGGGGAAATGTTTCTGGTGGAAGAAACGATATTCTCAGATGACGCTCCTACCTTTTCGTAAGAGTTCACAGTTTGTGATGTGCATGCTTGTTACAACAACTTTGCAATGCATTTCGTATTTTAGCTTTCCTTACCACCATGTAGAGAAAATCAACGAGAATTATCTAATGACTTAATTGGAAGTAACGTTTTGAATTGTTCTGTAACACGCAAGTTATAGACAAGTTTTAAACTAATTGCACTTCCTATACAATTAAAGGGTTCTTCAAATTATCGCATTTTCTGCAATCCATTGGTTGATCTCACGTCAAAACTTACAATAACAGTTTCATTCGCCAACAAGGAATAATCCTACGTTTTTTTAATGCATAAGCAATTTTCTAAACAGTGTTCGAGTAGAGAGCTGCGTTTGATTCCACGATGCTTTGGTTACATGAGTAACGGCCGTCAAAATAATGACAGTCATTTTGGTGGTACTCTTCATCACCACAATAAGACTAATCAGTAGGGAAATTATGTTGACACAGATTAAGTTGTTTATCTGCATATACTTGGGCGAGCAGAATGATTACAAATGAACGTGAACAGTCTATCTCTATATGCCTTGATCTGGTAAACAAGCTATCAGTGAAATTAATCAGGGGAAACTCCGAACACTTTTCTTCTTTTATCCTACTAAGATTTTCATATGATGATTCATCTTGCTTTTCTTCAAGGTCGACTTGATGATTTGCAACAGCAACAATTTCCCCTTCACCTTACCTCCGCGGCTACGGTGGCTGCAACCGCTGCAGTGGCTGCCGTGACTGCAGCAGATAGACAGTGGAGGCTGATTGAACAGGAAAAGGTGCACTCAAGAAGAGCAAGTCGAAAACTCCACAGGCCAAATGGAATCAAATCAGTGCGACAACTATTTTCCCCCAGTAAAGCTGTTCTCCAAGCAACGAAAGATATTGAAAGTAACTCCACTGAACACAGTTCCCAATCACGAAGTAGTAGCAATAGCGATGCAGGATCCGGTAACCATGCTAGCTCTCATTCCGGCTCAGAAAGCGACAATGAATTAACCGGACCGGACCAACCTTTCTATCACGATGCGGTTATGTTTGAATCGGGTGAACTGCTTATCCGGGATCAACACCGAGGAAAGCAACAAGATTCGAAACGAGCGCAGGTAAACACACCGGGAAAACAGAATAGACGAAGTAGCAAAGCGAAATCGGCAGAAATGCAGCATTTGATTAAGTGGAAAAATGTGATTCGCAAAGGTTTGATGGAGGCATGTAAAGTTTTGTCTCTGATTGATAGTCGAATGGGTGACAGACAAACACGTGTTGTATTTTGCATCAATGCAACCGGTGGGCTTCCATTGTCTCCAGCCTCGTTGATCAAACTAGCTACGTTTGTTCGTCTCATCGATCGATTAGCCATGCAACCCCCGTCAGGTGGAACAAGCAATGATGTCCCAGTCTTGTTTGCTCCCTATAAACCGAACTCCGAGGACAATTCGAAAGAAACCAAAAACTTGAATCCGAATGCCTCTCCAACAACATGGACACCAAATATTGTTGTGCTTTTGGTCTCACCAGTACCCCATGTTCTTATTGGCACGGGAACCCAATCCGCACCGCACACGACATTTCCCTCACAATCCGGAAGAGACCGGTCCAAAACTTGTGCATTCCTAAACCCCAATTTCCCTTGGACTAACTTCAAACTGTGGTGGTCAATCCATCATGTGTGTCATTTGCCCATCTATCTGGAAGAGGAGCCATCGGGACATCGAATTTTCGAACCCGTTACGGCGCAATCAGCTTCCGGTTCACCTCTAGTTCCACAATCATTCTTTGTGAGTTTCATCAGTTTATTTTCACCATACTCCCAGGAAAAGCAGAGTTAACTTACCTTAGTCAAGCAAGTGTTTTCTGTTCAATCGCTATGTACTCTTTTGTTTGCCTCGGGACTCTGACAACACATCGATTTCGTTGTTTCCTACAAAGTACTGGGTGAACATGCGATCAAAAGGTATCGTGGTTTTGAATACTTTTTGGCTGAATTAGAAGTTTTCATCCTATTGACCAAAATTTACCATAAACGACAGGTTTGTGATTGTTTGGTGAGTGATCAATATCAAAGCTAACCAAGTTCAGGTTCTGTTCATTTGCAGATTGCTACTCCAAGACTCTATACAAATTGTACCGCTGGAGTGAGTGAGATGAATGCATCCCGTTATCAATTTTTAACTAAATGAAGCAAATTTTCAAGCGGAAAATATGAACGGCCTTCTAAGACTCATTTCTCGTCAGACTAAACATACCAGAGCTAATTCTCCTCAATTAAGGGAGAACGGGTCATTTGAATAATGGTATCACACATTTCTATTTGAATTCATAAGGTCTTTGATTTTCATTGCATTATGAGCTGACCGTGAAGAGTAAAATCCATCAACTGAAAGTTCATCCGACCCCACGGAGGCTTTTGTTGTGAACTTGCAGGGATCCGCAAATATCCAAATATTGGTACAGTCGTTTAAATATTGTGTAACGCATTTAGTGTCACTCTGAGAAAGACGACATCGATAAGAACCAATTACATTATATTACAATTCTATACAAACAAAAGTCATATGTTTAATTCGTCTTGCACAAAACCGGGGGGACTTTGTAAATGTACTTTTTCGTTTGATTGTTGAATATGCCCATCACCATTTTCCCGATTTCTTGTTATCGATTTGTTAAAAGCTATTTAAAAATGAATTGGTTAATAAAATTCGTGGATAACTTTTAAAACACTATGCGTTTGAATGCGATGCTACCAGGTTGCTACCAATGTCATTTCTTAACTTTTTCTTACTTTCCTAACTTTCAAAAACAACAATCCCAGGATATTTTTATTTCTGAAATGATGGAGCAATGGATGAAGCAATGGAATCATCAGATGCCTTTCTATTTAGAATTGTAATGGTTTGTAAATAATACAATACGTCATTTCCATTGTACTACTTATACCTTTCGATTCATCAAGGTTTATTGAAAGCATAAAAATACCACCGCATTCTGTGAAATAAACTCAACCGATTTGGTATTTGAGAAAGAAATTCGTAGATGATATTTCATTAACTGAGTACCAGTGTCAATACAGATTTGTAGGAGAGAGATGACCGCTGGCGTAACAATGCGGATAAACTAAAGTAACTGCCATGTACATAATTAAACCTAACGTTTGGGGCTTGAACGTTTGTGAAATTATCGGGCAGTTTGAAGCCCTTTCACTTGAGTTAAATGCCGAACTTTTAGACCAAAACACTTTACATCAGCCGACGGGGAAATGAGAGAAGTAAATCAGTTTACAACCCTTTATAGTATGCAACAATAAATTTAATTTAGTTTGCCAGTCGTGTAACAAAATGGTACCGGGGTGAAAGTTGGCATCAATTTTTGACAAGGATTCTAATTATTAATTATAACAATGACATTTGAAGCTTGATTAGTGAAATCGTCTCTAAGGCTTTGCACTGTTTGCTGACAGACTCTCCTGATAACACGCTAACCCATCAAAGATAATACTTTTTGATTTCCTCTAATGAGTGCGCTCAAATGTGCTGTGAAATAAATCAAGCCAAAAAGCATGAAAAAATGATTAGTTGCTTTGGTTAATTAGTCTTGGGATATATGACAACTAAATCAAGTTGTTGCTGAAATCATTAGCAGAATCGAGTAGACAGAAGACTTCCATTGTTACACAAGTGAGACGTATGGAAGCCAACAATAAAAACAACAACAACACGAATTTCGCTCCGGCTTTATCTGTCCCTAGGTTGAACTTGTAACCTCTCATCCCCTCGAGCTTTGTACGTTCGCGTCCCGATAAAATAATGCGAGGTCGAGTGCTATTCTAGTCTGCTCACCCTCCGATAAATTGCACTGCGTGGATTCAACAACTGAATCGCTAGACGGTGTGTGTGCATTTGTCTGCACTGCCAATGTGGAATCTATACTACTAATCTAAGCTGAGCACGATTAAAAGGGTGAGGTCAGTTCATCAGGCATGACGGCTTCAACTCACCCTACTCATCCGACTTTCTTGAGTATTTAGAGGAGCAATCAAATCAGAATGTTATGGCCGATTTCAGATAGACTTGCTCAGAAATAGCTACTTTTAATTTTTATTTTCAAAGAAATGTGCAAAAAACAAAATAAGTTTGTACGCACAGTATTAGCAATGTTATGAACTAGCAGTGAAAATAGCTTTCGACAATTCTAGTACTATTTGTTTAGAAACCACCAAACCATAACCCTCAGTGTTGTTATATATGTAGAATTAATCATTTTATGTTTTCTTGCTCGTTCAATTTAGCTACTTGAAACGCGATAATAGAGACGTTTGTAGTCGTTTGGAATTTATAACAAAGAGTTTCGTATTCCATATTTAAACTATATAATTTGAGTAACAATATACTATTAACAATAATCATTATCTTTGGCATTCAAATCTTGATAATTAAAACGATTATATTCAACTCAGAAACACCAAAAAATAGGGGAAATGAATAGAGTAGAACAATTTATGTACGGGCCCCACCATTAGATTTATCATTGGCTTAAGAAATATAATTATTATTGTTTTAACTGATTATTGAATGTCTTATTTCGGCCGAATGACTTCGTAAATGGTATTAATTCACACAGTGAAATAAACTTTATATTCATTTCTTTATTCACAAGCTACAAATGAACATTCATGCAAGTGGGAATAATTTTTAATCGTTGCCCAACTAGGTTTTCTGCGCACAATGATCTAAATATGGCATTGAGCCACACAAATACACTGACACAGGGCTATGAGTTGCGCAAATGTTTCCCACTCACTCGTTCTCTTCTTTCACAATATGTATTTGTCGGATGCGTACAGAGCAGAAACCACCGTTCTGCATGTTTACCAAAATACCAAGTTTTTTCTATCCAACCCAGCACTGTTTGAATGCACGAATACTATTTAAGTAGATTCATTTGTGATCATCGCATAACCACAATTTTGTACTGGGGATTCGATAAATACCACGATACCGATTTGACCTTCAGGGCAACAGCATTACCGCGTTTATATTTGGGTGTGCGTATGGCCATGTGGGCGAATCCAGAAGAAATTGATCCAGGTGCAACCATGGTTCGTTTGAGGAATTGGATCATTCAACTGATAGCTTTATTGCACCAAGTTACATCCCATGCAAGCTAATTCCTTCTGTTCTTACACGCCATACAACCTCAGTTATGCTTGCTTATGTCGATGTGTGTAACAAGTGGATTGATCCATTGGCTAACTGATGAACTAGTAAATCAATAACTCAGCGAGTGGGTCTAGGTTTTGCAGAGAGGGAGGGGGCAAGAGAGAATGTTTATGTTTGCGTAGAAACGAACTTGTTGGTTTACAGTACGGTTTCAGCGTGCACACTGCAACTTGCAAAAAACAGTCAGTATTTGGGCCACATGATGCAGATACTTTTAAAAGAACACTCAGCAAACGAAATTACAGTATGCTTATTGGAGGCGAAGTCCGGATAGAATTAAACAATAAAACCCGCTTGAACTTTGTGGAAATATAGCACATCTTAACGGAATTTAGGATTTGGCTGTTCATAATTTGTTACTTGAGATGCATAAATCAATTACCTAGCTTAATTATAAAGTTTATTTTGTTATCAATATTTGTCAGGTATGCGATACACCAATCGAGTTTCTTCATTTCCATGTTTTATAGCTTGCGTTCGCACATTTGCTTTTAAATGAAACATTAAAAAATGATTCATTTACTTTCATTGTTTTGAATTCATCTATCACTATTTTGCTTCCATTTACACAACGATCTATATAATAGCCAAACCCCGCGGGCAAAGGTTCCATGTTCGATCTGTTTGTTGGCTCCCATGAATTATCCGATTTGAATGCAAAGCGGCTACGACAGTTAATGACACAGATTTCATTCATGGGTAAGCTACTAACTGCAGCTCAGTCGCGTTTCGTGATCGTTTCGGACTCTACGCCTTTACTTATCAAAACAGTGCAGTTTTCATCTCCTTGTAATTATGTGAAAATGGTTTATTGGTATATGGGATAAACAACACATCATATATCGGTCAGATCCACTCACGTCATGCCATTTTGATTGAACATATTTTCAAATAAAAAGGACCCAAGCTGTTAGTGGACAAATTCGGTTCCACTGACTGTAAGTTACGAACGAATTCAATAATACACACCGTGCGAACCTCGCCAATGCAGTCAGAGTACTGTTGAAGTTTTTGTGGTGCATTTCTAGGGGAATCTGAAATTGCTTTTGAACGTCAGTCATAAGGAATCGTGCTGATCCATTCAGCTATTGTGATCCGATCACAGATTATTCCCGCATGCTGTGCACAAAAGCTCAAACGGAATCAGAACAGACGGGCGCATTTTGATGTAACTGTGATGCTTATTTGACTTTTGGTTAACATGGATTTCATCTCCGCATGATACATCGGTGCCCCTTGCATAGGTCAATTTCAGTGCGTTGTTCATGTGTCACCCAATAATGACCTAAAGCTTATTGCCCTCTCCAGCGATCCCTGAAAGCATAACTTTTAAAAATCCATTCTTTTAATCACTAAATATTTCACATTATTAGCGTGAAGGTTGTATAGCTTATGCAGCACAAATAGGGTCACATTGAATTGGGTTGTCATCAAGCGGCTGAGGTCACCATCTGTAAGCCCTGTAGGACGTGTGTTCGAAACCCACCGCAGATACATGTATTTACCCATTTGGGGATTGTTGAATGGCAGCTATTTGATTGCTCAGTTTCTCCCTTCCTAATTATTCTGTCATTATTTATTTAATACAACAAAGTGAAACAAAACAACAAAAATTGCTGATCTGTTTAGAATATCCAATTTAGTTATTCCAAGATGTAATGAAATGGTCCCACTAATGGTTGATACAAATTTCATATTTTCTTTTGATATAGGAAGGATGATCAATATTGAACGACTTCAAGTGGAACACCAAGGACTGGTTCGCATAGACAGCGGTCTTTGGTCCGGTGACGCTCTCATGGGTGCGTTGGTGACATGGCTTTGTCTGTTGCAACACTGGCCTTTTCATGCTGCCTGGTTGGCTGTGTTCATTGAGCAGCATTTACGCGGTCGAGATGCCGGTGATCTCTCGGGAGGACCAATGTCCACTCCGAGGCGAGTGGCCAAAAGTGGAAGCGGAAATCTCATCACCGCTTCCGAAGGTGACGGAATTGAACAACTCACTTGGAGCAGCACCCTTTCACAACTCCACGCTCGCATATTAAAAAGGTAAGTACTGAATACCATTTAAAACAAAACTCTTCAAAGCGTGAAATCACTTCCTCGGATAGTGATCCAGCAGCTATAGCCTTATTACGAAACTCAAATCGAAATAAGGAAATATAGTGAAAACCATTTTCATCAATTAAATTTACTGAAAACCCGACAGTAATCCATAAATGAGAAAACATGGGTTCTTTAAAAAGACAATACTTTTCATGTTCAGTGTACTCCTCGGTTGAAAATTAAATCATATTTGCTTCAAAACTGCCGGAACATTAACTTTCCTGAGTTCGTTGTCAACTGTGGTTCCCTCATTGGCATGGCTTCTCTCGAGCATTGCGCGAATAAGATCAAAAACGACGCTGATTTTACCCATTCCCGTCGGTGTTTCTCGAACAGAGTGTGAACGAGGCATTGATCATCTAATCATTTGGGATTTGTGTATTATCGAACACTTTTATAGGAAACCAAAACACATGGGGCTAAAAATGTTAGATGATATCATCTAACAGTCTTATAGGAATGAAATAGACTTCAAATCTAAACCATTCTCACCGGTCAGTCGATTTTCATCTACACGCCCTCAGTTTTTATCAATTGTTCATGCATTTTTCATCTCTACTTAAAAATTAACTGAAAATGGAATGAAATCAGGCATTTTATCCCACGATTCTGTAGTGAAAATATCTAGACCGATATTTTAATTTTTTATCTAAATGGTTTATTAGGATGAACGTTTTATTGCCGAGTCTGATTCCCGGAAAAAATGTAACCACATTTTGCAGTTGAGGAAAGCTTACTAAAAGTGCACTTTATCAGAAACCAATGATTAAATTAATAAACGAAAAAGAAACTTTAATTTTTATTGTTTTCTCCATGAACATGCACATATGTAAGCCAACCTAACTTTGATACCTGAAAATATATTACATTTGATTGATTTGCATAAAACAACTGATACATACTACTACAAACTGAATAGTTAGTCCTTCTCCCGTTCGTAAAACTTGTTTTGTACATTTCAATCCCCGTAGATGGCTAATAGTTAGTGCTTCCCCGTAATAACAGTTACGGCCTGCTCACTTGTCTGAAACTGTGTACAGCCTTAGTTACATAACCCATATTTTAGCCAATCCAGGCGTGTCCTATATATTGCATTTTCCTTCGCAATCTACCATTAGGATTATACATAGTTGTTTGACTACTTCCATAAAATGCATTCCAAGAAAACACAGAGTAACGGATAACCTCGTCTTCGGTGATTTGTAGTCATTCAAATGCATCACAATTTATCACGAATTAAGGGGAAAATCACCTTTTGGAATACTAATACTACGACTGATTTCATCATGAAACCGGAAATCCTATAGCCAATGATTTCCTACTTGTGTGTTCATTCATCCGATCATCGAGATTATGGGTGCGTTGGCAAGGGGATCTCAAACGCGTGCACCAATTGTTTCTTGGGGGCTTTGGGCAGAAAAATTCCGCATCTTCAGCTGTGACTGGTAACTGAAAGCGAACCTAGTTGATAGCTGATCACGACCCTTAGTTCGGTTATGATAAGCCTCCATCACGTTAATGATGTGCTTTGTTTTACCTGGGTGTGGAACCAATGCACTGGTGACTGACTTAATCGTTTCGGTGTTCAGTAAAGCATGGTGGTGTTCATAACTCCCTTCATAAAATTACTCTGAAGTGTGAAATACGTATGTTGTTCTATGGGAACAAACAACTCAGTTTTTCTTTCAAAATTGCAACTCAATTTTACTCAACAATGCTCGAATTTAGTCTTGGAAGAGGACGGAAAGATTTCCCATCCAGTACAGCAAAATCCTAAACCAATTCGGAGAGTAACATTGAATCAGTTTTCTATTTCATATCCCTTATTGATCACTTGAAGCTAAATTTTCCCTTACATGCAAATGAAATGTCATAGAGTAGAGATAATTAACTGAATATCGTAAGCATTTTCTCGTGTGATGTTGCATGAAATGAGGTGAAAGAGATGAACTCTATACCAGCCCGGATTTGTCAAGCAACCCGTTTGCTTTAACCACAGAAGTCAACGAAACGTGCTGAGCCAAAGTTCGAGACAGAACAGGTGTCATATACCACGAACGGTAACGGAACTTATCAACAAGAAAGCCAGTTGTCTGGTGTAGGCCTTTAATTTGGATGTCACAGTTTAATGCGTTTTCAAAATCAGTTCGACAGCTCCATCAACAGTAACGCCCAAAGGATTGAATACGACCAAAGAAAGGTTTCGTAGCATCCAGGAAATTTATAAATATCGCTTTGGTGGAGCATAGTTTTTTCCATTACAAATTTCTTTCACGGTTTGTACTGAGAAATGGCAGGTTTTAATGTAAATAAAAAAACAAATGTTCCATTTTTCATTGATTGGAGTAAAACATTTTGAATAAAGTATCTTTTTTGGCGAGTAGGTGAAGTTGTTGGTTAGTTTAGTTTATTCCGGCACTTAAATGAGTACTTTGTAGGAAGAATGGTTTTACTGTTTACAATTAGAATACGCTGTTGATAGCTACTATTATATTTGAATCAGTCATTCCTGATTTATTGCTATATACTTATCTATTGCTTTCATTCACAATTAGACTTGCACCGGCTGTGGAAGTAGCCCGCATGAAGGCTATGTCCGTGTCGCTTGGCGCTTCACAACCCGGATCCGAGTTCAACACACGACACATGGCCAACTACCCACCTCATGTGACAAGTACGCTAGAAATCTGTGATCTGGCAATGCGTGATAGAGATCCGCGTCGACTGGTTGAATTCTTGCAGTCGCTCAACACTGATCAGACCGGTGTGAGCGACGCGTTCGACTTGCGCGGACCGTTCCATTCCCGTGTGCATAGTCCATTTCTGGCCGGACTGGTTACAGTGCGACAATTGTTAAGAGTGATGCGCCTGACTCCTCTGATGAATCCGCAGATAAACCAATGGATTCGAGGTAGGTAGTAGTCCTTATTATTGCGATTCGGTCGACACTCAAAACCAGCAATTAATTGGAAAGTTGATTTCAGAAACGCCATACACTCAATACATTTGTTGAAATAGAAAGTCTGGAGCGCTGCTGATTGATTCAGTCATGATCTTTATCTTCAACCGAGCTGATAAGAGTATTTGCCCACAACGGTACTCAGACAATGCACCGACTAGCAGAGAAGCACGTTACTGGGGTACGTGCATCAGAAGACCAGACTCAGAATTTACTTTTTCAGAAGGCATGTGGATCACTCTCTTGACCACCAAACAGCTAATCATAATTCTTAACTTGTTTTCTTAGGGTTATTGTCATTTGAAATCTATCACCTCAACATTGAACTTTAATTGTTGTGGTCCGTTTGAAACTCCTAGGAAATCATAAAATGCCTATAATTATATTGTTTATGAAACCGAACAATTTTAAACGGGATGAACAGTGCTTTATAGGATTTTCAAATTAAGTATTTCCTGCTCAGCGTACCACAGTTCTTTCTACTTACTCTATCGAATAATCTATCTCTCTTATTTGATTAGACGAAATTAAGTGTGTGGGGGCACAAAACTTTCTATGCACAAATAGTCTCCAAACGAATGGATTTTATCTTCAGCATTACTATTTAACTTCCAGTATGTGGTATTACTAGTTTCCGCCTCTGAGTTAATACTAGCTGAATTTGTATAAATTAGATTTTCTGTTGCTCCTCATCCCAACTACTTGTGGCCCATGTATATTTTATTGGAAATTCCTAATATAAATTCTGCCCTAGGATAACAAATCAATCCGACTGGAAATTCGGGCCTCCATAGCAAGAACAAGGTGAAAAACTGCAATGATTTATTGATTATGGTCGCATTTTGCCCTGTTTATGTTTTTTTTACTATAAACTTCAATAAATGTAAACAATAAACAATGCATGAAGTGAAACCAGTTTAAGGTTAGAGTGGAAAGTGAACGTACCCCACCCTGTACATGACTTATTTTCGATTCAGTTTGTTTTATCTTATCGCATCATTTCCATATTCACATTCAACTGATGACTAATCATTTTACCCATCTATATGAAGAATGTGCTTCCGCTATTATGTTCATGCCACCTGGTCTTAGCTGAAATAATGAGGGCGATAACTGTTCGGAAAATCTTACACTGAATGCTGCTGAGCTGGTTGCTTAGTTTGTTGCTACCGTTTGATTGATAATGTACCGACGAAAATTACACACTGGTAAAGCCGCTTTTTCTGATGAATAGAATGTGTGCATACACTTACACAAACCTTAACCCATTGATTTTCATCTGAACAATAGCTCAAAAGTAATCTTCCAATCGTTTTAGAAAAATTTAATGGAAATTAATGTTTGACTTAGGGCTTTTCACGAAGTTTTGCGATGGTAGGAACATTTAAATTCACCTAGATTGATTGTCGATTGATTCGATTCATACGTAGTAATTGGCGTCAAATCTTGGTTAATATTCGCAACCAGTGCAATAGTGTACACCTACTCAACTCGGGAGGGTGTTTTGTAACTTGATCCTTGTCCAGTTTTCGTAGAAAATAATTTTTCCTAAGACGTACATTATTGTTGAGTGAGTAAGTAAACAAACTCCAGACGTGTTTTGAAGCAACACTCCAACAACTTCAGACCAAGCCATGAAAATTACTTGCTTGCAACGACCTATATTTTAAAACCCTTTTTCTTCACATGTGGTGGTAAGTGGTTAACTCGGTTCACTCACTTGTCTGTATTCTTTCAAACGGACAAACTACTTGTTTTCTCCTTGGCTTTTGTACAGGATACAATTTTCAAACCTTGCCTTCAATAAAGTAGTGGTTTGGTTTAGATTAATTCCGAGTATCATTATTTTACAAATTTCAGATGTCCTCTCTTCCAAAATGTTGACCACTGGGGCACCACCTGATACAAGATCCGAACAAGGTATGTCATTTTGAACAGTAACTTACCTGTTACTCCTCCTGTTTGACATTTTCTGTATGCTTATGATATCGCCATTTCTATTTTCGTATCTAATCAATCAGAACTGGTTAGATATAACAAAACCCTATCCCATCCGGTTTCATATTCCACTTTTTCCGGTCTCAACCTCAGTCCTGAAAATTGCCTTCAGTGTATTTTCACTTTGATCCCTACCCCATCTTCCTCCGACAATATCCAGATTCATGGAAAGCCGA